AAAAAAAAAAAAAAAAAAAAAAAAAAAAAAAAGAATTTACATTTTATCTATAAGAATCTGTGATGATTATTAAGAGAAATATAAATTTCAGATAATTTATAATCTTTTTGTCTCTTTTTCTCCATATTTGAAGACGACAAATAGAAAATTTCAATCTTTAATCGTTTGACGATCAATGGCAATTAGCGATTAGAGAACACATTGACTTCTTGAAGACGAGTGACGCTTTTTTCACGATTTGTGAAAAACGCTCCAAACGTATCTGTGTCCGCTCGGAGGCGTGTCCGGCAGTCTCGAAAGATTGTTTTTTATATCCATTTCATCGAAATGCTTGATACGCATTCCATACGAGAGCCACTACTAATGTCGTTCGAGCCGCTCGATCGATACTCGCCTTCAATTAGTATCGCGGAATGGGAAAGTTATTTCTACTCGATTTTTGACGATATTCGCACGGACCTGCATCGGAAACATCCACGAAATCGGCCAATCAATGGCTTGATACTCAACGGTGAAAAAAAGTAAGCGATAAGTAAAAAGTAAGCGATAAATCTTCAGAAGCAAATCAATTAATTAAAAAATTTTATTTTGATTTTTTAAAAATCCCTTTTATCAGTATCTCTCTCTGGAAAGATCAAATAACTTATATTATGTCAAAGATAAGCTTACCAATGTATAAAATTTGCACGTTTAAATATCAGAAAATCATTTCAAAATTTTTAATATATTTACAAAGTCTATTAAGTGACTTTATTTTATTTCGGTTATCATAATTTATTAATAATAATAATAATAATAATTCGGGAGGCGGTCCTCCATTGAAAATTCATCAACGACACGCAGACGTAGTCCATTGTGTCTTATAATTTATTAAAGTTTATTCAAAAATGTTTCAAGACTTTTTCAAAAATTGAAGAAACTGAGATCCAATCCAACTCGATTGAATTTTCGAAAGCGATTGCAGTTAACTTCATTCATGGTTTTATAACGCACTGCCGATTTCGCGGATGTCATCCAAGTTACCTTCCACGTAACATCCACGAAATAATAATGTTATTAAGATTCTGCGTTTTTTAATATCAGCGAAGCTCGGCCCGGACACCGGGTGGATAAAGTGTTTTCAATAAACTGTTACATTATCTGAAGTATTCTTAATTCTTCCTCAATGTTGTATCTTTGACGGACGACTTTTGACAACACGTAACAATTAAAGCATCGAGACGTTGCAGCAGGCTTAAGAAATTATGATTTCTCATCGAACAAGAAAAAGAAAAGGCACAATTTTTTCAAACAGTTTCAAGCAAAAAAATATTAACGCGTACGGAACCATGAATTATTCGAAGAACCGGTAAATATAATTTTATTGAAATTCTTTCCTACAGTGGACGTTATTCAAAGCTTATTTAATACTTATAATTTTATATTTAAGACTGCACGATCATCCGTACGAGACTCGTTCGAAAAGAAATCTTCGTGAGATAGAAATGACGGATTTGATTAAATCTCTTATCCCATCAAAACGATTATCCGAGAGCAGTGTTATATATTTGGGTTCGTTTCATAAAAGTCCGCAGCTCATAACGTTAGAGGATAGCAAAGACAGCTTTCCCGAGAAAGTTATTCAACGAAACGTGAATCAATACCAAAATGAGAAATCATTTAAAGTAATACATATATTTTATTTATTATAAGCTAATTTTTCTGTGTTTCCTTTGATTAAAAAGAGCGTAATAATAATTTTACAGAATTAATTCCAACTAAATATTTTCATAAATTTTTCGAAAATTTTATTAAATAGATTACACTTTAAATATAATCCTGACCATCTATTTTATAAGATAAATACGTCTCGGTAAAAAAATTTTTTGAAAAGGAGGACACTGCCTCCATTTCTGCCTTGCCCTTCCGCAATATGCTCAGCTGCTTCGATATAGCTTCGTTTACGTAACTCCGGGCTTCGATGGATCTCAATTTTATGAGATCAGCTTCGGTGAGCGGAATTGTTTTTGCTCCTATAGGAATCAATTCCGAGGGGTGGATTCCGAGCCAACGTGCGTTAGGACAAGCCAAGCTCTCGTTTTCTTTACAAAGGGTCGACGAACCGAAGCTGCGGAAGCCAGTGTAATAGAAATGTATATAGAAATGAAATATTTCTCGAATAAAAATTAAACTAGCATGTAATATTGAAATATTATCTAAATTGTATACTCAACTTTTGCATATCGGGAAGGATTATGATAAAGAGTTAATGTTATAGAAAACTAGTACTTTCTTTTTTTGATACAAAAAAATTCTAATGAAAATTTTGCTTAAACGGCAATTTTGCTTACCGATAAATTAACATAATGTCTATGCCGAAAGGATCCGCGTCTACAACTATATAAATCGGCAATTCCATCTTTTCGGATAATATCTTGACAAACATCCTCGTAGCTACATCCGGATAACCCTTTCCCGTCACTAGAATGCATTTTAGGGAGCGAGAACAGTTTTCCTCGAGTAACTTTTGGAAGACTGCATCCTTCTCAATGACCAAGACGAACTCGGCTTTCACACGAATGGAAATTATGTTCGAAATAATTTGCGGTATCTGCGCGCCGCCTGGTATTGTACAATCAATAACTTGATTATCGACTAGTGTGATGGTCATGTTTCCTGCCATCAATCCTTTAGCCGTTGCCAGTAGTCCTGGAACGACTTCTAGTTATTGATTTTTGTTTCATATTTTTTATTTTCTTTATATTTATTATTGCATCGTTTCAGTGTATAATTTTGATTATTATATTTATAATTAGCCTTCCTATAATTAAATAGTGTTTGACTCACTCAAATCCCATGGCGCGCATTCTAACAAATTAGCGATATCGTTCAATGCACGATCGACATATCGTTGAATAGGTACCAAATATCTGGTTGTCTCTTTCTTTAAATCATAATAAAATGCTCGTCGAGTCTTGGTGGTGTTCGTTAGCAACAAATGATGAACCTCAGCCATTATCACCATCATTAGAACAAATTTGTTTCTGCTGCTTTTCACTGCGAAATCGACGGTTCTCTTTTCCAAATTCTGAGTATCTCTATTATCTGTATCTTGCTCTTCGACAAAATAAGTTGACGCATCATTGAAAAACATCGTTCCCTTTCGGACTTGCGAGTCTGGATCGACTGAGCATCCTGGATAAACATTTTCTTTACGTGTACTCAATTTCGAAATATCATTTCG